GTCTTGTCAAGTTGCCCAGGCAGGTCTCGAACCCGCCGGTTCAGGCAATCCACTTACCTCAGCCTCCCAAAGCACTGGGATTACAGGCTGAGCCACTGAGCCTGGCTGGTATTTCATTTTTTTTGTGGCTCTTATGAATGGAATTGTGCTTTTTATTTGGGTTTCTGTTTGTTTATTATTCGTGTAAAGAAATGTGATTTTCTTTTACACATTTATCTTATATCCTGATACTTTGCCAAAGTCCTTTATCAGTGTAAGGAGGTTTTTGACAGATTCTCTTGGGTTTTCAAGGTACACGATCATGTCATCTGCAAAGAGCGATAGCTTGACTGCCTTTTTTCCTGTTTGAATACCCCTGATTACCTTCTCTTCTCTGATTGCTCTAGCCAGGACTTCCAATACTATATTGAACAGGAGGGGAGAGAGTGGGCATCCTTGTCTTGTTTCAGTTTTCAGGGGAAATGGTTCCAATTTTTGTCCGTTTAGGAGTATGCTGGCTGTGGGTTTCTCGTAGATGACTTTTACTATTTTGATGTATGTTCCCTGTATGCCTAGATGTTCGAGGGTTTTTATCAAGAAGGGGTGCTGGATTTTATCAAAAACTTTTTCTGCATCTAATGATATAATCATGTGGTTTTTGTTTTGACATCTGTTGATATATTTAATTACATTTATGGTTTTACAAATGTTGAACCAGCCTTGCATCCCAGGGATGAAGCCTAGTTGGTCATGATGGATGCTTTTTGAGATGTGTTGTTGAATCCGGTTTGCTAGGATCTTGTTGAGAATTTTAGCATCTATGTTCATCAAAGATATTGGCCTGTAGTTCTCTTTCTTTGTGGGTCTTTACCTGGCTTGGGTATCAATGTGATGTTAGCTTTGTTAAATGATTTGGGGAGGGTTCTTTTTCAATTGCCTAGATTACCTTCAGTAGGATTGGTACCAGCTCCTCCTTAAATGTCTTGTAGAATTCTGCTGGAAAGCTATCTGGACCAGGGCTTTTTTTTGTAGGTAGTTTTCTTATCACGTAGTTAATTTCCTTGATTGTTATTGGTCTATTTAGGGTCTCAATTTCTTCTTGTTTCAATCTAAGCAGGTTGTGTGATGTCAAAAAGTCCTCCATTTCCTTAAGGTTTTCAAGTTTGTTTCCATACAAGTGTGTGTAGTAGTCTCTAATAATCTTTTGTATTTCTTCAGGGTCAGATGTGACTTCACGTTTTGTGTTTCTGATTGTGTTTATTTGGGATTTTTCTCTCTTTTTCTTGGTCAGTCTAGCTACGGGACCATCGATCTTGGTTTATCCTTTTGAAGAACCAGCTTTTTGTTTGATTGATTTTTTTTTTGTATTATCTTTTTGTCTTCTATGTCCTGGATTTGGGCTTTTATTTTGGTGATCCCTATTTGGTGATGCTTCTTATGTGCTTGGCATTGATGCTGGATGGGTGGAGTATTGAAGAGGTGAGGTGAGAGAGTCTTGTTTTTTTTTTTGAGGGCTGTGAAATCACCTTGTCTGTGTTTGAATCACGGCGCTACCACTTTTTCTATGTATGTATTAGGATGCTTCTGTCTGAGAGTAACTGGAAGCTGGGTCAACTGCCTCAAAGTTACCCTGAATAATGCAGTATCTCAAATAAGTCCAGTAGTAGTTAAGGCAACGTGCAGGGAGGGAGAGTGTCTTCTTGTGTCTTTTACT